ACATTATAATGCCACTGTACAAAATGCTGGCAAGTCCGCACCTAGAGTATTGCATACAGTTCTGGTTGCTACACCTCAAAAAAAGACATAGTGGAACTGGAAAAGGTGCAGAAGAGTGACTAAAATGATGACTGGGCTGGGGGACCTCCCTTATGAGGAAAGGCTTCATCATTTGGGGCTCTTTAATCTAGAGCAGGGATCTCCAAAGTACGGCCCATGGGCCACATCCGGCCCACCTTCTTTTTATCCAGCCTGTGCGTGCATGTGAGTGTGCTTACGTGTGGGCGGGAATGCAGGTATGCATGCGAGTGGGAGTGCATGTGGGCAGGGGGGGTGCATGCAGCTGGGCGGGAGTGCATGTGTGCATAACCTGTTTCCCCAAAAATAAGACCTAATCTGAAAATAAGACCTAGTATGATTTTTAGGATGCTTGTAATATAAGCTGTACTCCAAAAATAGGCCCTAGTTAAGTGAAACCCCGCCCTCTACCATTGTGCAGCATTGTACAGCAACCAGGTGACATGATTGTATTTGAATAAATGTAGAGTGCTATACATGAAAAAAAATAAAACATCCCCTGAAAATAAGCCCTAATGCATTTTTGGAGCAAAAATTAATATGACCCTGTCTTATTTTCAGGGAAACACGGTATACATGCGTGTACACAAGCTCGCGTTCCTTCGGCCCTTGGAAATACAGTGGTGCCTCGCTTAGCGACGTTAATCCATGCAAGAAAAAACGTTGCTAAGCAATTTCATCGCTAAACAGAATTAAAAAGCCCATAGAAACGCATTAAAACACCATTAAAACGCCAACCTTAAAGCGAAGATCCTCCATAGGGGTGGCCATTTTCGGTGCCTCTAAAGCGAGGACACACAGCGGGCGGCCATTTTGAAACCGCCGATTAGCTGGCCGAAAATGGGGGCTTTGCGATGATCGCTTCCCTGTGATCATCACAAAGCAAATTTTCCCCATAGGGACCATCACTAAGCGATTGCTTTTGCGATTGCTTAAACTCCGTTGCTAAGTGATTTCGTCGCTCAACGGAACGATCGCTAAGCGAGGCACCACTGTACAGCAAATATATTATGCAGCTCTCACTGTGAAAAGTTTGGAGACCCCTGGTCTAGAGAAAAGGTGCCTGAGGGAGGACATGATTGAGATGTATAAAATTATGCAGGGGATGGATAAAGGGAAGCTCTTTTCTTTTCCCCCTCACGCAATACTAGAACCAGGGGACAGTCCCTCCAGTTGAGTGTTGGGAGAGTGAGAACAGACAAAAGAAAATATATCTTGACCCAACTTGTTGTTAGTCTGTGGACCTCCTTGCCACAAGATGTGGTGATGGCATCTGGCCTAGATGCCTTGAAAGGGGGATTGGAAAGGTTCCTGGAGGAAATGTCCATTGCAGGTTACAAACCATGATGGGGATGTATAATCTCCAGGCTTAAGGAAGGTACCTCCGAATGCCAGATGAAGGGGAGGGGGATCAGGAGACAGGTATCTAGTTGTCTCATGTGCTCCCAGAGACACCTGGTGGGGCCACTGTGAGAGACAGGAAGCTGGACTAGATGGGCCTTTGGCCTGATCCAGCAGGACTCTTCTTGTGTTTTTATGTTATAGAATGATTCGGCAGGGCTCTTCTTACGTTCATATTTGTTGTCACACATCAGTTGTGTCACACAGCATGTGACAACAAATGCCTACACTGATTTTTAACAGGAATTTGCAGCTAAAAATTAGTTATGCTAGTACAGTCATGCCTCGTTTTACGATTGCCCCGCATTATGACGAAACCGCATTACAACGATCTTTTTGTAATCGCAATTGTGATCGCAAAACGATGGTCTAAATGGGGTTTTTTCACTTTGCGATGATCGGTTCCCTGTTTCGGGATTCTTCACAAAACGATGATTTTAAAACCGACTCTTCACAAAACGATGATTTTAAAACAGCTGATTGGTGGTTTCAAAATGGCCACCGGGTAAACAAAATGGCTCCCCGCTGTTTTCTGGGACGGATTCCTCGCAAGACAGGCAGCGAAAACGGCTGCCCTATGGAGGATCTTCGCTGGACGGTAAGTTTTGACCCCATTAGAACGCATTGAAGGGGTTTCAATGCATCCCCCCCCCCCCGCTTTACTATGTTTTCGCTTAGCAGCGATTTTCCTGGAACGGATTATCGCCGTTAAGCGAGGCACCACTGTATTTTCAATTGGATTCTGATCATGTCATATTTTTATAACCTTAATTGCGAGGAAAGCAGAAGTGTTAAGAGATAGTAAATTGCAGTCTAAATGGTAAGGGTGCAATTAGACAGCAAGAAAGCCATGTGTCTATTTGCACCAAAAGGGTCTATTTCCCAGGAGCTATCTCCCCTAAAGTGACCTTTCAGTCGGATAGGGAATAATTCTAGCCCAGCCTCAACCTTAGCAGCCCTACTGCTAGCACCGACTGAGGTAAGGGTGTAGTACTATGCCCCTCATATGTCATGAGCTCACAACGGACCACCTACAAGTGGTCCAAAATGCAAACTATATGCCACGTGGTCACAACCTAAACCTCAGAACCTTTTCCAGCCACCTGCGTAGGAAGCATGTTAAATTAGAAGCGCAACAAGAAATGACCATTAGCTTATAACATTTGGAGACTCCACTGCTGATCTTCAATGACACACACACCTCAAAAAAAGGGGGTCAGAGAATGCCACGTTTTCATTCCAAGCTGCTCTGAGATGGGCAACTGCCTGTTAAAAAATGTAAGAACCTGAAGAAAAGTATGATGTGCCATGTTCCAGGGTTATCTGGGCATCAAGTTAAGTGGCTTTTTAGAAATCATTTCCTCTGCAACCTCTAGTCTCCCAAACTGATGGTTCGAGGGTGCGCTTGCGAACAGAAGACCCAAGGAAAAGGCCATTTTTCCCCACACGTTTGGAGAGACTGTGGAGAGATTTCTTTGTTGTCGCTCTGGCGGACTTTCCACGCCCAAACCACTCGATTTTACTATTGAGGAAAATAAGGGCCGGCGCTCAGCCACCTCTCTAAACCATCTTGGGAGTACATCTTATGTTAGCCTTTTCTCTCTCTTCTGCTCCTTTTATTGTTATTTTCAGCCAGCCCCTGTCTCTTCCCCCCCCCCGCGCTTTTCAGGCAGCCTTTTCCCTCTTCTTTGTCTTCGTTTCTCTTTGTCCTGCCTCGCCTCCCCCCCTCCATCCTTTCCCGCTTTTTTCGCCCTCAACTCCGCTCCCGCTCTTTTACCTCAGCTTTCGGGGCACCCCTTTGGGCCTTTCGCTTCCCCTCACACCCTAAGACCCCGAGGCAAAGCAGGGCAGGGGGCCGTTTCCTTCCTCCTCCCGCCGCCGCCATCACCACCACCACCACCGTCGTCGTCTCCAGTCCCCTCAGTTTTTTTCCCCCCGTCACAATACCCGCCAGGCCAACCCAACAATCCCGAGACCCGCCCGGCCTCTTTTCCCTCCCGGCGGCCAAGATTGGGCTGAAAAGAGGAGGGCGCGCGTGTGGATGCCGTCTGAGGGAAACACAGAGGAGGAAGGAGTGGAGGTGCCGCCGCCAACCCCGCCACTCGCCCCTGCTGCTGCTGCCATTGCCGACGCTTCGGGCCCCGTACCGCCCTCCCTCGTCCGCCCTCTTTCCCCTCCCAGGCGTGGCGGCTGTCCTCGCTGCCGAACCCGC